TTGCTGATTTGTTGGTTTATACTTTTTCTTTTGTTTTGTTGTTGTTGTCTATTTTTTTTGTACCGTGAATTGATCATTTGTACTTTCTAAACCTATTGTACCCACCCCCCTCTGTAACGCCCGACGGGCCCTGAGGGTAATGAAAGAAATAAATAAATAAATAAATCAGAACGCCGACATTGTCTGACGGTAATTTTTTTTTCACATCTAGAAGTACCTCTTGTCCTCCTGTCATCTAAATACGCACGTACAAAAAAAAAAAAACACAAAACAAATGATCCTGGTCGCCAGATGCACCACACAGGAGCGGCGATGTTCTGACGGGAAGGAGCATTCGATAAGGAAACAGCCCACAACTTACCGGAGAACCGAAGTTGTGACCGATCTCGTGGCTGAAGGTTATCGTCGAGATGTACTGGGGCACGAAGTTGTGGTAGTTTTGAAACGTGACGATTCCCGTGTTGAGGCTCATCTGGAACTCTTTGTATTTATTGGTATCGGGGGCCAGCTCCACGGACATTCGGTACTTCTCGCAAATTCCCCCGGAGCCAGCTTGAAACAAAAGAAAAAAGTACACAAACGCTGTTTGGTGTTTTTGATTATTAACGCCGCAAGGCAAAGTAATCTGGTATTCTGAAAGCTGTCAAGGCGGGTTCACACATTTGCGTTTGACAGTGGTCCATTGCCTTGCAATCTCGCCATTTTTGAGAAATGGTCGCTTATGGCATTGTCAGAGATTATGTCAAGCCCCACAGACCACAGAGCAAGAGTTTGCAGTCTTGCAACCGAGTACGACGGAGAGAGACGAGACTTGTTGAAACCTCTTAAAACGTTTTTAGGTCGAGAGAACATATAAACACACTGGCACGATGGCGCCATCTATGCGGTGACTGTGGAACTGCATTTCACAAGAGCGAAGGTTTTGCGGGATTTGCGAGGTGATATGTGCCTACAACCTATAAGAAAGGCTCGTTTATGCCGTTGACAAAAGTTTTTCGAGCCAAGAAAGAAAGGGTAATGCGCGAGAGAAATAGAAAATATGCCGGAACGGCCAAAATTACACTGCTACCCAATAGATGGTGCCAGTATGTCCCCTCGATGTAAGAGGTTTCAAGGCACCCAGTTTTAAGAGGTCGCAAGAGTGTGAACGGGCCTTAAAAAGCACTTAGATCGGAGGTGTTCGAGGGTGCCGGTACGTTCACTCGCCGCAATCTGTCTCAAACGGTTATAGTGCAGTCGGTATCAGGCAGATGCAAATATGTGAACCAACTTTTAGTGATAATTCGCAAATCCACGTGAGCCTCTCTGACGACGAACTCGTAGATAAGACAAAGAAGAAGATCGCGAATATCTCAACGGCCAAATGCAGCTAAAAAAAAGAAGAAAAAAAAGAAGAACAGATTTGCAATCTTTAGGCGCTTCACAGAACCTGGACGTCACTTCCGTGACGGTTATCGCCCACCAATCGCGGGCCCAAGATTTAGCTGGACGAAAGCGCCAAAGAGAGAGAGAGAGAAAAAAAAAAAAAAACAATGTAAAAAAAAACAAAAAAAAACGGACGTTTACGTTTTTTTGTAATCCGAAATTATAGAGCGCCGCTCTTGAGGTCCTATGATTTTGCAATAAACCGAGGTCACGGCTTCGCGAAATCCAGAGCAATTAACCAAAAAACGCTTCACGTTAAAAAGAAAACAACAACAAAAAAATACCGCACGCAATTGCCGTAGCCTTCTCGTCCTCTCTAACCTACCATCAAGCAGAAACAAAACAACAAGAACAACAACAAACAAACAATGTTTTGCTCTTATCAATATATCATCAATATTAATATATATAGTACATTGATATTTTGATTTGCTTTTGTTTTTCTCTGATGGTAGGCCAGCGGAAACGAGGAGGGTACGGTGGGAGCCCCAGAATGCAACGCGCACAGTGTTTGTTTTAATGTAAAACGTTCCTTGGCTAGGTCCTCGGATTTCACAAAGACGCGTTTTGTAAAGCCGTGGCCTGTGACGTCACATGACGTCACCATTTTTCCGATAAATTTAGTGGCAAAATGAACGGCAAGTGACCTAGCACCAATTCAGTTTCCCCGCAATATTTAGCGCGGGAAGTGACGTCGCCGACGGCGATATACAGCGCTTCAATTGTCCGCTAAATACAGCGGGTAAGCTGAATTGGGTCTTGAGGTCGTATGACGTCAATTTTTCCGCTAAATTTAGTGGAAAACCGGAATGCGCAGCGCAGTGTTGCTTTATGGAACGTAACAAACCTACACACCGATTCCGTTTCTCCGCTAAATATAGCGGGGAATTGAATTGATGTATAGGTCCATGACGTCCTATAATGCAACGCGCGCGGGTACACCGACGCAGACGCCACTATGCGTGCGGGAACAGACGCCTCAGAGCTGCGCTTTAAAAAAAAGTTTCAGTGTCATATTTGAGCTAACAGTGTCGTGTTTGCACTGTGCGCTGCAGCCTTTGTTCCCTTTTGATAGGGTAACTAAAAACTGCGTTTTAGATTCATGTCTTTACTACGATAAATCCAGCACCTGTCCTGCTTTTAAAGCGATAGCTTAATAGGGTGAACCAACCTCAGGAGCCGTGCAAGCATGAAATGTGTAGGTTTCAGCCCAGTCTGTTTCCCTACTGGACCATAAAAAGAAATAGAAATAACCGGCAACTAGGGATAAGCATATACCCCGGTCACTGGCGTGGAAGCCAAGCGCGCTGCTGACTGATCTACGAATTCAGGACGCAGGAACGGTAGGAGCATGCGTAGGTGGTGTGAGAGAGCACGCGGAGCGGTAAGGGGTGCAAAGGAACAAAATGAAAGATGTTTACAACTCCCTGTAACGCCGAATTAGTGCGCAGCTCTTGAGGAGGAGGAGGGGAGAGTACGGAGGGGAGAGTATGCGCCTCCTCCCCCTTCCCTCCTCCTCTCTTGCCCCCTACCATTTAGCGGGAAATCGTCGCTACATTTTCCGCGAAATTCAGCGGAAAAAAAATTACGTGCTATATTTAGCGGGAAAAAGTTTTCCCTAAATTTAAAAAGGGAATTTTCCCGTTAAATTTAGGGGGGTATTTTTTCCGCTGAAGTTAACGGGGAAATATTCTCGGTAAATTTTGCGAGAAATTTTTTCCACTAAATTTAGCGAAACATTTTCTGCTAAATTTAACAGGGGAAATTCTCCGCTAAATCTAGCGTACAATTTTTCCCGCTGAATTTAACAGAAAAATTCTCCGCTAAATTTTGCGGGAAAATTTTTTCGTTCAATTTACCGAAAAAAACATCCCCGCTAAATTTACCGAAAAATTTTTTCGCCAAATATAGTGAGAAAAATCTCCACTACACATAGCGGCAAAAATTCCCGGCTAAATTTAGCAGGAAAATTTTTACGCTAGATTTAGCGGCAAATATTTTCCCGCTAAATTTAGCCGAAATTTCTTTCCGCTAAATTTGGTGGGGAAATATTTCCGCTAAATATAGCGGAAACTTTTTCCATTATATTTAGCGGAGAATGTTTTTCGCTGAATTTAGCGGGAAATTTTCTTTTTTCACTAAATTTTGCGGGGTCTTTTTTTTCGCTATATTTAGCGGGAAAATTTTCCCGCTAAATTTAGCAGGGAATTTTTTCCGCTAAATTTAGCGGGACAATTTTTCCGCTAATTTTAGCGGGGAAAACTTCCCGCCAGATGTAGCAGAGAACGTTTTCCGCTGAATTTAGCGGGGAATGTTTTCCGCTAAATTTAGTAAAAAAAAACTTTCAGACAAATTTAGAATTTTTTTCCAATAGATTTTACAAAAAAAAAAAAAAAAAATTTCCTCCTCCATTTTTTTTTCATGGCCCTCGTGACGTCACTCGTGATGTCCCGTGTGACGTCAATATGGAAAACGTCCCATGATGCAACGCGCGGTTATGCCGACGGCGACACCGACGCCGATGTTGGCGCTGACGGCGACGCCGCTCAAGCCGGAAACAGGTTCCTAAGAGCTGCGCTCTAAAAAGAGGAGCAGAAACTGGCGGTGTGGAAAGAATGCGCGGAACGAGGAGGACTGGAAAAGGTAGGAATAAGTGCTCCCCCTCGTTTGGTGAGTAAAAAAATTCAGCGCGAAAGCTTTGTATCCGGGTGGTGCTAAAGGGAAGCGCGCGTGAGTTGTTGTTACGAGACCCTGACTTAGGCACCACCTGAACTAAGAGCAGCACCCACCCAGGCACTGAAATACTGAGGGTCATTCTGCCCTAAGCACCAGCCAAAACTAAGAACACCACTCAGTTCGTGTTACTTCATTAAGCAAAAAAACAAGCCGCGCATACTCAGGATACTCTCAGTTCAGCCCAATGTTGGTGCATGAACTTTTAAGAAAACGCAATAAATTCGCACTCACTACTGCACAAACGTTACTATGAAGTCCCTCCTCGTGTCATCATATATCTCCCATTAAAATTTTATGCCGATTGGAGATTAAGTATTCGCAAACGTCGAGATCGGCTTGCTACGACGGAGTCCCTATAACAAGCGTCCTACTCCTCGCGAAGCCTTTTTGAATGAGCCTTTACCGACGGCCAAGATCTGTGTCTGAACGGGGGTTCTGAAATTATACTCAGTCAGGAAGAAAGCAAACATATAACAAATTTTATGGCCATTAGCAACCGCCAAGGCGCTCGGAATTCTTTAGTTCATTTGGCGCACCAAACTGTGCGACATTCTTCACTCAAGGATCTCGACTGTTGCTTTCTTCAAAACGGTTCGTATGTGTGAATGTGCCCATATGATTCCAGGATAACTTCATGCGATATTGAATTAGTCGAATCCAAGCATTTAGGGACTTCACTTCGAGCAGTGCTGCGGGTCAGTGCAGCTCTAAAGGGATCAGATTAAGTGTTCGATTCTAGCTTTTCAACGGCGTCTCCTAGTTTTACCTCGCGTGCTCAAGCGTATTAAAAAAAACAAAAAAAAAAAAAAAAAAAACAGTAATTGCAAAAAGGTATAGACGCTTTCAGCGCGCGCCAAATTGAGCCGTCATTGCCGACCTTCTCTTGTCTTACCGAGATGCCGAGCCACTGAAGCGGGCATTGACGAGTCTCCACAAGGGCCTATGCTGGGGAGAAGGACACAGTAACACCCAAAAGTGGCAATAACCTGTCCTACTGTGGCAATGATGAAGGGAAGCGAACGGAATAAGAGGGAACATAAACTGAAGGTCGGTTATGGCGGCGCCCATGCAAAGCTGCCTGAAAACGTCTATATTTCGTCCATGGACGCACAAAACATGTAACAAACTTCCCGAGAAGCAACGCTAAAGGTGCGAGCTAGGTGTGCGCGCACTTATTGGTTGTTACAGCGTGTTGACTCGTACACACGCAAAATGCTCAAGCTTCGCAGCATTGAGATTCCCAGCACTGGCTCGTCCACGTACCTCGAAACGCTAACAGGAAGGCTCGAGTACAAAAATAAACAAGCATGTATCAAGACAAGCTTTACGCGTGGTTCGAGCTTGTGCTGAAGCTTCGAGGTTTGGCCATTTAGGTTAGTTTAGAGACACAAAACGATGCGCTTGGGACCAGACAACATAAGATAACGGCTGTTTATAATCCACGCTCTGTGTATGATCCCTTCTCGACGTGTCGATCGAAACCGATATCATGCCACTCTCCTCCCTGGCTAACTAGTTCCCACCCAGAGTGCAACGCGCGCAGTGTTGCCCGCAGGTATTTATGGAAGTAGTTAACTGAGAGAAATAAGACGCACCAGCCTACGACGCCTACGCGGAGAAATTCTAAATGTGGTAACGACAAAAGTAGAAATCGTCCTCTTAGCTATACCCGCGATCTTAAACGCTATATACAAAAACTCGAGACCACACTCCATTTTACGCAAGTCCGACCGCAACTACACTACGTAAAGTACGCTACGTGAAGTACGAGGCGACGGAGTCAACCAAGTATAGCTACAAAAGTGGATCGTCACGGCGCTCGGCGTCCTTCTGCGTTTGCCATCAAACGCAAACGCTAGTGTGAACGCAGCATTGTAGAGTAAAGACGCAGTACAATTCACGGGGTGTTTACAAGTTCGCGGCGAAGAAAGCGATATCTACTTGTAATCGATCGCATTGGGCCCTTCGAGCGACGATCCCATCTCGATCGGAAGAGTCTGGCTGACCTTCTCTCTTGGCGATCCAGGCCAGTCCCAGGACTCCGTCGGAGAAGTCCCTGTACGTCCAGGTGTAGGACAAGCAGAAGTCGTCGTGGTTGGCCAGCGAGGCGACGTGGAGCATGTGTGCCGAGTCCATGCCAGAGACGCAGAAGGGATTCGAGATCCTCGACAGTCCGAGGCAGTGCGAGGTGTCGTTCATCTGTGGCCAACAGACAAAGCCGAATCAGGTTTTCTCTTCTTTTTTTGTTAAATGCGATAACATTGTTGGGGAGCCTGAGTATGCCCTCATCCCCATCTTTTTTGGGCATAAACGCTTTGCAGATGTCCAGCAACAAGTGAACATCGAACAAACATCGCAATGTTCCCCGGAAATATTTCCGATGGCAGTGATGGAATATCAACAAGCAGCAAATAAAATGTTGAACGCGTATGTTTCTTTTCTTGTTTTATATATATATATCACGGCTCTAGTTTTTTTTTTTTTTTTACGTTGAATTCTGTAGGCCACATTCACAAAATTATCAATTTCTGTTATTGTTTTGCCAAAAGATTGTAATGTGCTCCTCAAGGACTGTAATTGTCTGGGTATTATACGAAGCATATCAACTAGAATTTTAATATTTCCTTCAAAACTTCGGCGCTGCATTTGGACGTATAGGCTAGTAGTTCGGCGAAGCGTCCTGTATTTTTGCAGGGAAAACGAACCCTATATATTTTTTTTCTGGAACACACTGTACTAGAATACTAAATGCACACTGTAATAATGCCACGAAAGCACGAGAGACGTCTAATCAGCTTCCTCCGATGAAATTTAGCGAGGCGTAATACCTTGATGCTCTGAACGACGAAGCTGATGTCCTCGATGCCCCCAAAGTTCGTGGCTCCGTAGATAATGTTGGCGCGTCTCACGTGCGCGACAATCAGATCCGCCAACCGTTCCCTGGTTAAAGTTGGATCTTCGTCGTGGTCGTAGAACTTCTGAAAGAGCGTGTGGTCTATGTTCACTTGGAGGTTGCACACGCGCCTCGATATGTCCAGCGATCGGCGTTTGGTCTCGTTGACGGCACCCCGCTCCGGGGAGGAATCGGATTGATCGACGTCGGTGGTGTCTTCCTCTTCCTCGGCTTCAGGCAAAGTCCCGTGAAGTCGGCGGCCTATGTATCGATGTTTCGTGTCGGCTTCCTAAAAAAAAAATTTAAAAAAAATTTAATAAATAAATAAATAAATAAATATATATATATATATATATATATATATATATATATATATATATATACATTGTGATTCAAGGAGACGCCAGGCTCTTTAAATCGACCGCAAGATTCGGTTTCTTAAAGGGATACTGAACCGAAATTTGGATTTCGCAAAGTAAGGCTGCAGAAGTGTTGAACGGGACGCTATGAACTCCAAAACATCACTCGTACATCGATATCTCAAACAGATGGCCGTACTTTTGGAAAAGAAGGGCGCGATCAAGCGAGTTCTTTGACGTAACTGTCCTCCGGGAGAATTTGAGAATGAGGAGAAGCGGCCTCGCTTCTCTCCTCCTCGCTTCGGTTCACCAGCTTGACGGAACGTAGCGAGGAGGAGAGAGAATGGGAATCGTGACGTGCCTTGTCGCGTCGGCCTCGTCGGCCGGGTTCAATCGCACACTTCTTTTCCAAAAAATACGGAGATCCGTTAGATGTATCGCCGTATGAATGATATTTCTTGGTTTTGCAGCTTCCCGCCTCTACGCCCGGCCTTGATTTGTGAACTCGAATTTTCGGTTCAGTATCCCTTTAACCTATCGCGCTACGACATTGTGCAGCGTTGCCCACAGAACAGATGGCGCATTTTTTTTTTGTAAACTTTGCAAAGAGCGAACTTACCTGAGGAAAAAGTAAAGAAAGAAAAAGGCTTAACTCCTATGAAAACACAGCGACGCCACCGGTCTTCAAACAACTCGGCGCCGTTTCACACGGGAGACAAGAGATGGCGCAACGAACGCCGCCAACGAACGAGCATACGGCGCCGAGAGACGGCGTCGTTAGCAGACAATCCTTTCGACTCAAAAGGGGCACGCGTTCCGCAGGCGGCGACAGTCGGAGAAACAAAAACAGGTACGGTAACAACAAGGAACTGCAGTTCCTTGTCTGCTAAAGACGCCGGATGTCGGCGTCGTATGCTCGTTCATTGGCGGCAGTTGGCGTCGCGACCGCTTGCGCCATCTCTTGTCTCCCGTGCGAAGCGGTGCCGTGTTGTTTAAAGACCGGTGGCGTCGCTGCATTTACATAGGAGCTGAGCCTTTTTCGTTCTTTACTTTTTCCTCAGGTAAGTTCGCTCTTTCCAAATTTCACAAAAAAAAAAAAAAAAATTGCAACGCTGCACAAAGTCGTAGGGCGATAGGTTAAGAAACCGAATTTCGCGGTCGATTTAAAGAGCCTGGCGTCTCCTTCACTCTAAAAAAAGCCCGTGCGTCTGCTTTCCCGCACAACACCCGGAGAGCCAATCACCGCAACTTACGGAGGCAGCTCAGCGAATGACAATGCCGAAACATATGTTTAGACCAAAAAACGCAGTCTGAGTTGTGACATTAAGCAATGCAAGCGTAACGTTTTGCATGGCTTAATGTCACAACTCAGACTGCGTTTTTGGTCTAAACATATGTTTCGACAATGTCATTCGCTGAGCTGGCTCCGTAAGTTGCGCTGATTGGCTCTCCGAGTGTTGTGCGTGAAAGTAGAAGCACGGGCTTTATTTTTTAGAGTGTATAGCGTTGCCGAGGCGTGTGAGTGCGGTCACACTTTTACACAATCCACACACGAAAACGGGGCTCTTTCTCGGTCGTTCTGTGCATCGTTTCCACGACACATCCTGCCTGGACTTCTGTACCCGAGAGTTCGATCCGGGTCGAGTTTAAGTGCGAAAGTCGCATCTTCAACTTTAGGATTCGTTATGGTCATAATGTGGTTGTGTCGTCTTTGCCCTAGATGTTCATTCTTTCTTCAATCTCATCATATTTCTTCTTCTTGCTTCGTGAATCGCTTTTCGGCCAATGTCACGATCTCATTGGCTGTGTAATTATAATAATTAAGATGCCCGGGACCAGCTATGCCCAACGTTTTTTTTTTTCTTAAAGGGCCATGCAACAATATTGGACTGGAATGTTTCTCACTCTTTACAGAAACTTATCTGGCTCTAGCGGAACCAAGCACACTCGCACGCGACGCCACTGGCCGAGAACATTCTCGGTGTCCGCGTAAATTTGAAGGATTAAAGCGACGGTTTCTTTCAATCTCACCTTCGCGAAACTTGATGACGAAATTGTGGGGATTGTTGACAGCGCCAACAACGCGACCCGCAGAATTTTGTCATCAAGTTTTACGATAGCCGCCATGGCCATATTCACAAGTGGCTCATACAGTGGGCACGAGGACCGCGTGAGCATTCGATTTGGGCTCGTGACAATCAATGTCTCGACTTGTATTCGGGTAGTGGATGCAGGAGCTGAATCGCTGCAGTGACGGGAACAGCCGAATTCCTTAACAATGTGTGGAACTCAGCGCCTGCTCTGTGCTTTGCCAACCTCAGCGGGTGACTATTGACGACACATTATTGGCTCCAGATAATGTAGCCGCTTTTTCTCGTTGCGTGTTGAGGCTGTGAACGTTGCTCGTTTATCTTAAATATTTTTCTGCGACCGCTATTTTGTGCAGAAAAGCGAACAAGCAACGAACGCGTGTTTTATAGATCATGAATGCAGAAGAATAATTCTAAATAATATATACTCAAAGTAAAAACAAAACAAACAAAAAATGTCACAGCGCTTTTGTAGACTGTGTACCAAACATGTCTCACAAAGGGACATCGATATAAGTTACAACACTCAGCTCGTCGTGCTCACCCCGACTTTTCTCTTCCCGAACGAGTCGAGGACCCGGTTCATCCAACGCTCCCGGTGCCCGTAGAGGCCGCACCACTGGCGGCGTCGTTGGCTTCCGCCGGTTCCTTCGGGAGGCGGGAACTGGACGTCCCTGGCCGAGTAGAGCACCGAGTGAAACGGCGCGCTTCCGTTGAAGTAGTTGCTCGCTCGTTCCACGTAGAAATCGTCCCCGGCGGTGTGGATGCTTCCTTCGAAGACTCCCCGGCGCAGGGCTCCGTACACCTGGCTTCCGGATTCGCCTGATGAGAGAGAGAAAAAAATTACTTGTGTCACAGCACGCATTCATTATGCCTGGATTACGATTTGGTACGCTCGGTTACGTAATGATTAGGGACGAGGTCGGATGCATGCACGGATGGGACTCATGTACTCGACCGGCTCATCAGAATTACCTAGGCACATTTGAATTTATTCAGGACCCGTGACGTCATGAGATCACTTGGGGAACAACGCTTCGTCATTCGGAAGCCAGCTGCGCGCACCGACAGTCACCTACTACCACAGGCTCCCTTTAGTCACATTTGGTCCAGCTGCTCGCGCTCCAGTACGCCTCATCTTCGCAGCACTGAGTAAAGCTGTCTGGTTGCAAATCGCTAGGAATACAAAATTTCCGGAAATTCGGAAAGTCAATAAAAAAAAAAAAACTGTTTTCCGGAAATTTCGTAAACATACACAAGCGTAATCCAGCAATCTTTTGAAAGATAGACATATTTCAACAACAAGTTGTTCCGTGCATGTGTTCTTTTTGCCAGCTTTTGCGGTAGAACTGTTATCGTATGTGCTCGTATTTTTTCTATGAGAACTTGAGAACTTTGCCAATATAGCTGATTTTTGACTACGCATTTGGCATGAGCAATACACTCGTCATACTAAACGCTGTATTAGGATATTACTGGAACGGTTAACTTGCAGCCACCGTTCGTCAATTATGAAGTTGTATTTGGCAAAAGTATGTACATATGATGGTGCAGTAGCGGAAGCTCGGTTGCTTAACGTTCAAGTTCCGTGGCTTTTGTTTACTATTAATGCGTGTTATCGCATTAACCATGAAATATGCGATACAGATAACATAAAAACGATGGCTTCTTCACATGTATGCGTACAAAACACGAACAGATAGCACGCATCACGAAGTTATCACTGTGCTTCAGTGTTTTCGAAACTTCATTTTAATATAGTTTTGTTCGATATTTATAGCCATACTGCACACTATGAAAAAGTCTGTGCGTATACTTTCACGCACAGCACTTCGGAGAGCCAATCACCGCAACTCACGGAGGCAGCTCAGCTAATGACAATGCCGAAACATATGTTTAGACCAAAAATCACAGTCTGAGTTGTGACATTAAGCAATGCAAAACGTCACGCTTGCATTGCTTAATGTCACAACTGAGAGTGCGTTTTTTGGTCTAAACCAGGGGTGGCCAGGCTGACCCGACCTAAGAGCCGCAAACAAAACCACGAAACTTCCAAGAGCCGCAATGTTTTGTCCAGAGCAATAAACGAAACTCGAACTACTTTCAATCTATCCGAGTCAAAAGCAGTCAAACTGTACGTAAGGTAGCAGTGGCATAAGACTACCAAACCGCAACCTGTCTTTTGATTTAAAACGCGTTCCATTGTTTTCTTGTGGGAAGTGCTCGTGCGACCGAGAGGGAGGCTGGGGAGTGTGTGTGTGTGTGTATGTGTGGAAAGGGGGGGGGGGGCGGGGGGGGACCGTAGGGGAGGGAGCCGCGAGCCGCACTCTAACAAGCGAAGAGCCGCAGCTTGGCCACCCCAGGTCTAAACATATGTTTTGGCATCGTCATTCGCTGAGCTGCCTCCGTAAGTTGCGGTGATTGGCTCTTCGAGTGCTGTGCGTGAAAGTATACGCACAGACTTTTTTTCAGAGTGATGCCGCACAATGCATACTGAACAGCAGAACAAGGCTCATTTGGTGTATGCTCCTAGGGCAATGCAAACAGTCGGATGCCGGATAGAGGTGGCACACAACAACAAGCGCTAGCGTTTCCTCTTATTTTCTCCCTCGCTCCATTACCGCACCATTTCTTTTACAGAGATCAGGGCTGTTCCCATTACTAGACACCCGTTGTTGATGTTATCGTTGTAGTAGTCGATGTGGTAGTTGTCGTCGTCGTTGATGTTGCAGTTGGTGTTACAGTTGGCGTCTGTCGTCGATGTTGCCAAATCCTCGAAAAAGATCGCCTGCCGCCCGCGGAGCTTTGGTTGGAACGATTAGTGGGTAGACCTAAAGCTAGCTGCTTCCGTTTCCACTGCACCCGTCGAACGCGTTAGAACGCGAAAGCAGAACGCTGGCATTCCGTGTTCTAACGCATTCAACGAGTGCTACTAATCGTTCCAACCAGAGCTCGGCGTTCCGACGTCCCCGCACGCCCTCGTCTCCTCCTCTCTCTCACTCTCTAACCGCATAGACTTTTAAAAAGAAAAAAAAGGGAGAGCCATGTATAGACCTTTTCCACAAGGGCGCCGCCATCTTGAATTGACGTCACTTCCAGTATGGGCGAAAACGTAACTTTGCCGTTGCCACGCCAATAGAAGACATTTAGGATATAAGTCTAACCGTCACACATTCTCGTTTTGGCTCGCCTCTATTTTTTTACTAGTTACAGGTTGAAACGTTTTACTTTTTTTTCGTCGCCCATACTGGAAGTGACGACAATTCAAGATGGCGGCGCCCTTGTGGAAAAGGTCTATAGAGAGACTTTGGTCAATGGCACGGGCAGAGCCAGGGCGTGCACCAGACCCAGAAAGAGGGCTTGACATGCTCTCTTGGCCGACTATAGAAGACGAAAAGAATCCCCTAGCGATGGTAGCGAGAAACAGTTTTAATTGTTTTAAGAAGCGCCTAAGAGTTGACTGTCGTAACCCTTCATGGCTGAAAATAGGGTGCACGTAATGTTGTGATCGTGATCACGCAGAAAGATCTAAGAAACGAATATTTCGCTCGAACTCTGTTTTGCTCGGACAGGGTGTGACCGCTTGGACGGCAAATTCCCGCCCTCGGCGCCTGGCGTACGGATTATGTCGATCGTTCCGCTAGTCGCACCCTTCCACCATGATTTTGGATGACCGTGATTGAAACATCACGTGCATCATCTTTTCAGTCACCAAGAGTTACTCCGACGCACTTATTAAGTTTGTTTTTCGCCACCACCGCCAGGGTATTACATATTTCCGGCTCCTGGTTGACCACATTTGATTTTGTGAAGACACCCTTGGACACGCCCAACCCGCTTTCGGCCAATGGGGCCTCCTCATTTGTCTTTTATACTTCCCAAATTCCAATGAACGGCCAAACTCTCGACATATACGGCTCTGAAAAAAGGGCTCGCCGGTTTCGTTTTCAGCGTTCGTGCTTATGGCGCGCGATTCGCTCCCATTCCGAAGCGACGAACATGCGCGTGCTGGCCTGAGGAGATCGCACGCTGGGCTGAGGAGTTGTAAATATTAAAATGATATGTACTGTACTTGGGTTTTTTGTAGTACCCGAGAACCACTGCACGTGCATGCTCTCTGGGAAAAAGAATAGCCAATAACAAAACATCGTTGTAGCACTGTCAATGTCAAGAGCTCGTGCCGGGAAACGCGCTTTCACGCGCTCCGAAACAACAACATAAAAAAAAGCGTTTGTAACTAAATTATCAAATGCCTATTTTGTTCCGAACGATTTTGTTCACGCTCCCCACGGTGCGTGAACAGGACGACGGTGCCCAACAACTTCGCCGTTACTTGCCACGGCTATGGCTGTGACTCTGGACTAACATGGCACAGCGAATTTTTTTTCCTTTTAGAGCGCAGCTCTTAGGGGCCCGTTTCCGGCTTGAGCGGCGTCGCCGTCGGCGTCGCCGTCGCCGTCGGCGTAACCGCGCGGTGCATCATGGGAAATGTCCCATAATGCACCGCGCGAGCCCCCCACCGGGGTCACGTGACCTCGTGGGGGGGCACGACCCCCCCGAGGTCACGTGACCCCCCACGTGACTTTGAGGAGGGGGTCACGTGACCCCCTCCTCGATGTCACGTGACCCCCCGAGGTCACGTGACCCCCGCCGATGTCGCGTGACCCCCGATGACGTCATCGTCACTGATGACGTCACCGGCATCCACATCGTCATCGTCATCATCACTGTTGACGTCATCATCACTGATGACGTCACCGGCATCCACATCGTCATCGTCATCATCAATGATGACGTCACCGGCATCCACATCGTCATCGTCATCATCACTGATGACGTCATCAGTGACGTCATTGATGTCGTCACCGGCATCCACATCGTCATCGTCATCATCACTGATGACGTCACCGGCATCCACATCGTCATCGTCATCGTCACTGATGACGTCACCGGCATCCACATCGTCATCGTCATCATCACTGATGACGTCACCGGCATCCACATCGTCATCGTCATCATCACTGATGACGTCACCGGCATCCGCATCGTCATCATCACTGATGACGTTACCGACATCCGCATCGTCATCGTCATCATCACTGATGACGTCATCAGTGACGTCACTGGTGTCGTCACCGGCATCCGCATCGTCATCGTCATCATCACTGATGACGTCATCAGCGACGTCACTGATGACGTCACCGACATTCGCATCGTCATCGTCATCATCACTGGTGAAGTCATCAGTGACGTCACTAATGACATCATCGGTACCCGCATCGTCATCGTCACTGATGACGTCATCAGTGACGTCAGTGATGACATCATCGGCATTGGGGGTCACGTGACCCCCAAGGTCACGTGACCCCCCCTGGTTAGTTTAACCCCCCAGTGCCCCTCCCTCCTCATCAAGAGCTGCGCTCTAATTCGGCGTTACAGGGAGTTGTAAGCGGCTTTCACTTTTAGAGCGCAGCTCTTAGGGGCCCGTTTCCGGCTTGAGCGGCGTCGCCGTCGCCGTCGCCGTCGCCGTCGGCGTAACCGCGCGGTGCATCATGGGAAATGTCCCATAATGCACCGCGCGAGCCCCCCACCGGGGTCACGTGACCTCGTGGGGGGTCACGTGACCCCCCGAAGTCACGTGACTCCCCTGAGGTCACGTGACCCCCTCCTCGAGGTCACGTGACCCCCGCCGATGTCGCGTGACCCCCCGATGACGTCATCGACACTGATGACGTCACCGGCATCCACATCGTCATCATCACTGATGACGTCATCGGCATCCACATCGTCATCGTCATCACTGATGACGTCACCGGCATCCACATCGTCATCGTCATCATCACTGATGACGTCACCGGCATCCGCATCGTCATCGTCATCATCACTGATGACGTCACCGGCATCCACCGTCATCATCACTGATGACGTCACCGGCATCCACATCATCATCGTCATCATCACTGATGACGTCACCGGCATCCACATCATCATCGTCATCATCACTGATGACGTCACCGGCATCCATATTGTCATCGTCATCATCACTGATGACGTCACCGGCATCCACATCGTCATCGTCATCATCACTGATGACGTCACCGGCATCCACATCGTCATCGTCATCATCACTGATGACGTCACCGGCATCCACATCGTCATCGTCATCATCACTGATGACGTCACCGGCATCCACATCGTCATCGTCATCATCACTGATGTCACCGGCATCCACATCGTCATCGTCATCATCACTGATGACGTCACCGGCATCCGCATCGTCATCGTCATCATCACTGATGACGTTACCGACATCCGCATCGTCATCGTCATCATCACTGATGACGTCATCAGTGACGTCACTGATGTCGTCACCGGCATCCACATCGTCACCGTCATCATCACCGATGACGTCATCAGCGATGTCACTGATGACGTCACCGACAATCGCATCGTCATCGTCATCATCACTGGTGAAGTCATCAGTGACGTCACTAATGACGTCATCGGTACCCGCATCGTCATCCTCACTGATGACGTCATCAGTGACGTCAGTGATGACATCATCGGCATTGGGGGTCACGTGACCCCCAAGGTCACGTGACCCCCCCTGGTTAGTTTAACCCCCCCCCCCCCCCAGTGCCCTTCCCTCCTCCTCAAGAGCTGCGCTCCAATTCGGCGTTACAGGGAGTTGTAAGCGGCTTTCTTTTAGA